TCAAAGTTTTTTGAGGGGCCATGTATTCTTCGTGGGAGAGCCGGAACCACACCATTTTGCTGAACTACAGTCCACACAATTTCGGGGGTGGGGAGGCACAAATATTTAAATTTAGTCTTTAGTACAGCTATACCCGCAGGCAATTAAGAGGTTACAGGCAATGACGTTGGCCCGGGACAAAATCTAAAAGACTACATTCGTTTGATGCTTTTACGAAGACCAGTCGAAGTCACTGAAAACAGCATGCAAGCTTCCAGATTCTCCATAGCTCGTCATGTTGAATGTTACAAAAACGAAACACCAGCAACAAAAGGGTCTGTGTGGGGGAGATGTCTTATGGGAGTTCCTTTCTGGATGAGGAAGTGATTTTAGAAATTGCTAGACAGCATTGAGAGGAGGAGAGGGGAACTACCGGCGTGCTTATTCACCCTTCAGATGAACTGGTGTAACAATGTATTAAGCCCTGAATCGCCACTACGGAAACACGCAAGTATTTCGACATTACCTCCAAACGCTTTGGCTGCACTCAAGTGTTCTGTGTAGCTCAAAAGCTTGCCCAGTCTGGTTCCAGGAAGCAGGCTTGCGGTGCTATCCCTCAGCAGTTACCCCTTTCTAAGCCTGCTGCTTTCGATGGACTTAGAAGGGGGAACTGTGTTTGGGATTGCACTGTTGTTTCTTGCTAGCCTCCTAAGGACAGCACCTTGTAGAGAGACGGCTGTCCGTCCATCGGCTGGGTGTGGGTCTCACACACCCGTAGGTGTCTTTGGAAGAGTTTTTTGGTCGCTCCATTGCTGGAACGAACCGGGAAATGGGTGCTGTCTACGTACCTCTGAGGTTTGGGCTGGACGTGGTCACGGGCAGGAGTCTTTGAAGCTTCTTATTCACCTGGGTTCCAAAAGGGGGAACATGCTGAGATACCATCTACTCACACATGCCTAGGGATCTAGCACTGGGCAAGGAATCTCACATCCCTAGAAGGTCCACTCCCAGCTTTTAAAAACTTCTGCAATCCAGTTTCTAGCACTTAAGTACTGAAACCACATGGGGCTGATCAGGACATACAGGGACGCGGCTTAGTCACTATGCACAGTTCCTCATTTTGCCTCCAGGGCTAGCAGAAGCTACCCTTTTGCAAGCGTAGGCAAACATACACAAAATTCCTCCGTATGCTGCAATCATGGGGAGCCAAGGTATGGTTTGGAAGGCAGATCGTCTGACAACCTTGCTGAAGCCAGGCAAGATTGGCTCCGTGCCTGGATGGGTTTCTTGCCTAGGAAAGCATCTCGCCAGAAGACGCCGGGCCCACGAGACTTTATCCCGACTTGGGTTTGACCACTTCCAAAAAACTCCACAAAAGCGAACAAACAACTAGCACACCTTGAGTGATCGGGTATGACTTTGTTCCACTTCTCCTTTCTGCATTAAATGTTTTATTTGTAACTCTGCCTCCAGTTGTGATTTTTTAAAAAACAAAATATGGGATTTGACATAGGAAGAAATACAAAGCAATAGAGACTTACTTCTCCCTGCCACACTGTAAACCAAAGACTGATTATAAGTAGGGTGATCAAGATGGCTAGCCGTGTTAGTCTGTCTGCAGCAGCAGAAAGGAGCTGCAGTGGCTCAAGTGGTTAAGACGCTGAACTGCAGGCTGTGGAAGGTCAGTAGTTCAGCAGTTCGAGACCCGGGTTGCCGCATGATGGAGTGAGCTCCCGTCTCTAGTTCCAGCTCCTGCCAACCTAGCAGTTCGAAAGCAAGAAACTGCAAGTAGATAAATAGGTACCACTTCGGTGGGAAGGTAACAGCATTCCGTGTGCCTTGGTGCTTAGTCATGCTGGCCACATGACCACGGAAACGTCTTCGGACAGCGCTGGCTCTTCGGCTTTGAAACGGAGATGAGCACCGCAACCCTAGAGTCGGATTCGACTGGCTTTCGAGCAAGGGAAACCTTTACCTTTACCTAGCAGCAGAAAAGAGCAAGAGTCCAGGAGCACCTTAAAGACTAACATGATTTGTGGCAGCGTAGGAGCTTTCGTGAGTCACTGCTCACTCACGAACTCATACCCTGTCACAAATGTTGTCCATCTTTAAGATGCTACTAGACTCTTGCTCTTTTCTACTATATAAGCAGTTTGTTTGTCCTTACACGGTTTTTGATCTAAACAGACTCTGGTTTATCAGTACAGGAAATCAGTTTATGTCTGTATTCCGTCCTCCCTGGAGTTCAGGGAGAGGAACGTGGGGGCTTCGCTCAGTTTGCCATCTAAACCAGCCTGGGAGTAGGGCTACCAAGGCCAAGTTGGGAGATTCCTGGAGATTTGGAGGTGGATCCGAGGCAGGGTGGAGTTTGGAGAGGAGAGGGGCCTCAGTGAGATATACAGGCGTAGAGCAGGGGTGTCAAATATAAGGCCCGGGGGCCAGAACCGGCCCGCCCAGGGCTCTTATGCGGCCCACAAGCAACTAATGGAAGGGAGGGAACAGGAGACTGCTCAAGGGGGGATGGGACGAGCCAGTCCAATTGTGGCTTCAGCATGGTGGAACAACCTCGTCTCAAGCAGCACGGGAGCGTCTGCCCAGCGCTGCACTGCTGGTTGCCCAGTCCATCAAATGGGTTTTCCTTTGCACCCCACTCCTAGCCCATGACTCCTTGCAGTGAGGATACACCAACTGAGGGCTTTCCAGCTGCTTTCCTTTGTATAGTTTACATATCCGGTACCTGGGATTACATTTTATGGCACACATAGCCCAGCCTGACATTTATCTCAGATCCAGACCTTGTAACAAATGAGTTCGACATCTCTGCCGCAGAGTCCACCTTCCAAAGCAGCTGTTTTGTTCGCAAAGTCCACCTTCCAAAGCAGCTGTTTTGTTCAGGGCAACCTATCCCTGTAGTCTGGAGATAAGCTGTAATTCCAGATCTGGGAGGCTGAGATCAAGTGCAATGAATTTCAACGCTGCGCGGGATTTGAACTCAACTCTCCCAGGTCCCGACGCAACACTCTCCCAGCTGGTGTCAACTTAACCAGTTTGGTGTAGTGGTTAGGAGCGCAGACTCTAATCTGGGAGGACCAGGTTTGATTCCCCACTCCTTCACATGCAGCTGCTGGTGTGACCTTGGGTCAGTTACAAGTTCTCTCAGAGCTGTTCTCTCAAGGGCAGTTCTTGAGAGCGCTCTCTCAGTCCCGCCTACCTCACAGGGTGTCTGTTGTGGGGACGGAAAGGAGAGTGCAAGCTGCTCTGAATCTCCTTCGGGTAGTGAACAGCAGGATATAAATCCAATCTCTTCTTCTTCTTAACATGTTACATTTTGCATGCGCTGCCTTGCATGAGTTTCTTTCTGCATCAGCCTTCCCCTCCCAAAAGGGAACAAGGAACGTGCCCTGGTGGCACAGATTCCAGCAGAGGTAAAAGGCAACATAAGGGCAAGTTGGTCACAATTGCTGGCGATCTCTCGCCCCTCGCTTTCACCCCAACTCCCTTCTTATTTATTCAGCTAAGGAGCCTCGTCCTTCGCAACAGCTGGCGTCTGACCTGCCTGCCTCCTCCCCTGTGGGGGTCAGAGCTCTCCCGCCTTCCTCGGCTTCTCCCATCTGCTTCCTCCTCTAGAGGGGCCTCCAGCCAAAGCCGCCTTTCCTGTTTGTCCAGCCTCAGAACAATGCAGACCCCCCAGCCTGGAGTCAGCCCAGCAGAGATACTTAGAACAATGAGGGCTACGGAGCAGGTGGGACAGGCAGCAACGCCGGCCTCCTGCCGGCATTTCCCTTCCTCCTGCTTCGTTCTGTTCTGTTCCCAAAGAGCACCTCTGCCCGGTAAGGCCATGCACTCCAGTGATGCGTAGGGGAAAGAGAGAATGGTGGGCTCTGGCAGTGTATTGCTCTGGTGTGTACATGGAGGGAGGGGAGGGTCTCCATTCACTACCCCCATGACTCAGTAGCCACAAATGCCCTGGTGCCTGCACTGGAGACGCCAGGGGTCAGTTCCCACACAAGCAGCCTCAACACATAACAGTCACACTTTGCGTAAAGCTGCAGCAGCTGCAGCATCTTTGCCTTGGTGACGGGCAAAGCTTTGGAAAAGGGTCTGCCGGGGGTGGCCTTAAGGGACAGGACAGCAGAAGGGGTAAAAGCGATGCAAAAGACAGTAAGAACGGAAGAGAAGCCAATATTGGAACAGGACAATGGCCCAAACATTCTGTCACACAGTGGCCAAAAATACCAGGTGTAAAGGTTAAGAAACGGAATAAAGATTAGGAAATGGAGGTGCATTGCTTTCCCCCCTGGTCAGGTCTTATCTCCAAGATGCACTGAACCTTTGGGGAGATCACTGAAATTCTTTTTAAGACACCCCAATTTCCTGGATGGTAATCCCCCCCCCCCAAGTCTCTGCATGGCAGAATCGAGCCAACTGCACCTACCCCTGCAGAAAGGATGCTGGTTTACACAAATGGCACCGCGGAGGTGCCAGAGCCTCTCGCTTTTGCATGCAGAAGGTCTCAGGTTCAATCCCCAACCTCTCCCTCTGCTTCACACACAGAAGGCCCCAGGTTCAAAACGTAGCCTCTCCAGTTAAAAGGACTGGGTAACGGGTGTCTCTCCCTGAATCCTGCAGAGATACTGCTTGTTGTAAGTAGGCAGTCCTGACCTTGATGGACTAATGGTCTGATTCGGTGTGAGGCGGCGTCAGTGGGAGATGAAAGTTCATCCGTAAACACTCAAGCGATCAGGGAGAGGGCTGTGCGGTGCCGAGAGGAGCCCGGCTTTTACGAAGGATCTTCAAATATCAGAGGCAGACAAACTGCTGGAGGAACATCCTCTTTTCCTCCCAGCTCCGCCAGACGGGCAACAGTATGGCCATCAATGCAGAGGAGCCATCGGGGACTGGGGACTTCGTGGCCAGCCCACTAGAGCTAGGGAAGCAGGGAAACCAGACGGCTGAAGATGCGTGCTGTGGACACGTGACTCTGCAGGCCCGACGCCTATAATGAAAACTGTCAAGTCCGGGACAGTTTTTATTTTTTAAAAATCAAGTAAACATTGTTGAAGGGTTAAAGGAAGAATTGTTCTTGGAAACTGTCAAGAAATCCTGACACACAAATCAGACAAGCAGAGATTCCTCTAACCACCAGAAAGGCCAATGGAAACAAACAAAAATAACTCCTAAGTTACAAGACTGGTTGTTAAAAATAAGAATGATCTAAATCCCTGTGAAATGAACAGCATGCCAGAGAAGCAGAGACAAGACTTGGATTAGACCTACTACGGTCAGGTGCGATACACAGGATGGACCTGGCAATAGAAGAGACTGAATTAATACCATAATTGCCCTACGCTGGTAAGGGAAGTCTCTATCCATGGTCGTAAAGGGGAAAGGGATGGTTATGTACCTTATGTATCTTTGTCTTTTATACTTCCTTTTGCTGTTTGCTTGTTTTAATAAAGATAAAAAAGGCCAAGAAGTGAGGAAAACCATTCTACAAAGCCTCGGTAAAAACAACTGAAGTGGAAGTAGTAAGAAAACAAAATAGAGACACGTTTATTTGGTTAAGACGCTCCTCCCCCTCCCATGCCATGAAAACTGTTGTTACGCTGAGATGTTTCTCCCCAGAAGAGGGTGGAGGACTGCAAGTCTCATTAGTATCAAGCCCACTCCAAACACTGTAGGAGCCATAAGGAGGTTTATGCGCACACATATCTTAAACATGAGCTTCGCTGGCTGGCAGAGGAGCTGTGGGGAACTCGAGATCTCCTACCCGCAAAGCCTGTCTGCCATCGGCATTCTGCCCACCAGAGGGCAGGACTCGACAGCTCGGAGATGCCCGGATGGTTCCTTGCTTTCACGTATCCGAGGGCGAGCGGCCCGTAAACGTCCATCTCTGCCCGGCTACCTCAGCCCCAACTTCTTCTTCTCCTTCTGTTTCTTGCGCACCACGTCGATGTTGCGGTCCTTCCACATGCTTTTGCGCAGCTTGATGGGCCGGCTCCCGACGTACTTGCCTAGTGCAGAAAGCACATGAAATGGAAGAAGAGTGAGACAGGGCAGCTAGACGAGCAGATTGCCCGGGCAGAAGCCCTCCCTCCGTGACCCGGACTCCTGCCGGACCGTCTGGATGGCTCGGTCTGGCACAGCGTGATCAAGCCTCGAAAGAACTTGGACCTTCTATAAGCACTCACAGCACCCCCTGTCACAAGCCAATTACCCCCCCCCCGGGCTTCTCTGCAAACCACAATTTACCAATGCAACTAAACAGGGGTCGTTTCGTAGAAAAAGAGCTAGGGGAACTCATTAGCATAACTCAGAAGCATATGCCACACCCCCTGACATCACCGGAAGTGTGTCATAAGGCCACACCCCCTGACATCACCGGAAGTGGGTCAAAAGGCCACACCCCCTGACATCACCGGAAGTGTGTCATAAGGCCACACACCCCGCCCCCAACGGTCCCGGCCGCCACCGGCGGCCTTGCAGCTCCACTGCCGAGCCCCATGAGGGGCCCGGTGGTGGACCTGCAAGGCCGGCGGGAGTGCAAGGAAGCCCCGCGAAGGCCCTCCCTGGCCCCAGGCAGGCAGGGGTGGGGAGAGGCAGGGAGGAAGCAACTTACCCTCCCTCTTCTCCTGCCTCCTCCTGGCTGAATGAGGGCCGGAAGCAGGGCAGCTGGAAGCAGGGGGCCGGGCTTCGTCATGTGCCCCGCCCCCCGTACCTCACCCGGGGGAACTGTGATCCCCCGCGATCCCCCCCGAAATGACCTCTGCATCTAAATCAGGGGTGTCAAACATAAGGCCCGGGGGCCGGAACAGGCCCGCCCAGGGCTCTTATGCGGCCCGCAAGCAACTGGTACAAGGGAGGGAACAGGAGACTGCTCGGGGGGTGGGTTAGGCTGAGAGTGTGTGACTGGCCCCAGGTCACCCAGCGAGCTTCCACGGCAGAGTGGGGATTCAAACCCTGGGTCACCCAGCTTCTAGTCCGACACCCTTACTGTTACCCCCACACACACCCACACACTTCCACGGCAGAGTGGAGATTTGAACCTGGGCCTCCCATTTCCTGGTCTGACACCCAAACTGCTACTCCATGCTGGGTCTTCTCTATTCTGGCCCTCCCCTGTAGGGACCAGCTAACTCTGAAATTTACATCTTAGGGACCCAACACCGCAGCTTGGTCTCACCGTTCATCTCCCGCATGGCACGGACGTAATCGTTGGGGTCCTTGAAGCTGACGAAGCCGTAACCTTTCGTCTTGCCGGTACGCTTGTCCCGGATCACTTTGGCCTTCAGGAAGGACGGGTAGCGGCTGAAGGCGCGTGCCAGGATGTCGTCGTTCACCTCGTTGCCCAGGTCCCCGCAGAAGATCCGGAAATCGTCTTGCAGAGAGGAAGGAAGGAAGTGTGCCATATGTGAGGGAAGGGGATTTTTGCTGCCTCTGAACCTTTTGCCTAGGGGCCAGCTTCTAGCAAGGAAGCCGAGGTAACCCTGAACAAGCACGGCGGACGAGGAAGCCTGCCTAAGCAGAATTTCAAGCCCTCAAGGAGCCTTCGTTCCGTGCTGTCTGTGTCTCTTGCGTAGACAGGCAGAATCGCATTTTCTCCCCCTTTAAATCCTAGTCCCCCACAGTTTATATAAACCTCAGAATTCAGTTTTACTTGATAGTGCTTGAGTTAATTTTTCTGCCACATTATGCAAGGGGGGTATTTAATAGCTCCTGCACGGATCTGCAACCTATGGCTTTAAAGCCAAATCTTTATATTAAAGCAGAGGTAGGCGGGGTGCGAGAATAACCACGGTGTGGAGGGAATGGCAGGGAAAGATTTCCATTGGCTTCTTAAGAGATAATTTACAAAGAAGGAAATTAGAGGTAAGCAGTGACCAGTAACCCAAGTCATCCATGTGCAGATCTGTACCTGTATGCTTACTGCTACTATTATATTATTAAAATTATCGTATGGCATTCTGTGTAGTATCGCCAGGAGATCCTAAGATTGTCTGGCAGCCAAAGTTCTAGCTCTTTTAGCGTTATGCACCACTAGGTGGCGAGCTAGACTTGTTTTTAAGGCAAGAGACGTTTCAGAGGTGGTTTCCCATCGCCCACCCCTGCATCACGACTCTGGTATTCCTTGGAGGTCGCCCTTCCAAATACTAGCCAAGGCCAACCCTGCTTCACTTCCGCGGTCTGACGAGACTGGGCTGTCCTGGGCTACCCAGGTCAGGGTGCCAGTATGCTAAAGTAACTGTGCAGGACGGGGCTGTGTATATTTATGGCTTATTGGGAGACCCCGTGTGTGTGCCACTTTCCAATGAAGAACTTGCAACGATCACTGTCTGGGGCTGTGGAAGCTTTAAGGATTGTGAAACATGTTGACTCTCAGTGGGACAGTCTGTTTCCAGTTGCACCAGTGGGCTCTCTTATACCAGCTCTCGGTGGGTCTCTTGCTCTGAATCTTGACGTAATGTGGCTCTCAGAGGATAGAAGAGGGAAGAGCCCTGGCTGGGAGCTCTGCTTTGGACACCCACCCTTCCAAGTCTCCTGATCGCAGGCCGGAGGGGGAGAGCCGGGATTATTTGGGACGGGGGTTCCCACGGACACTGGCGAGCCCAGCCACTTACCAGCAGGGCTCTTTTGGTAGAAAAAGCCCAGCAGGAACTCATTAGCATAATAGGCCACACCCAACAGCAGGAACTCATTAGCATATTGGGCCACACCCCTGACAGCACAGCTCATTACCACATTAGGCCACACCCCCATGTTACCAGAAGTGTGGTTATCCAGCCACACCCACCTTTTGCTTGTTATTCTGTTTACCTTGTTTGTTGTCAAAACCCAGGGCTTTTTTGTAGCAGGAACTCCTTTGCATGTTAGGCCACACACCCCTAATGTAGCCAATCCTAATGTGTGTCTGCTGTTGGGTGTGGCCTGTTATGCTAATGAGTTCCTGCTGGGTGTGGCCAGCTTGGGAGCCAGCCGGAACTCCGTTCCTGTGCGTTCCTGCCCCAAAATAGCCCTGCTTACCGGCGTCCCACTCGAGGAGGCTGGGGTCCTCCCAGCAAGTGCCAGCTGCTGTGCGGATGCAGCGCTTCAGCTTCTCCTGCTTGGCTTTCTTCTTGTCCTCGGGCGTGTTCTCCACGACGGGCTTTGGGGGGGGGGAGAGAATGCGGAGCAGAGCGTGCCGTTTAGTCCACGCGCTATATGAGCACAGGGATGGATGAACTTCAGCCTTCCTCCTCCAAGGGGCTCAGGCAGTTTGCAAACAAAGGAAGGGGAGAAGGCTGCAGAGCGACAGCAGACAGAAGGTTCGCTATCCAGCATCTCTGGTTTAAAACGGCCTGCGTGACGGGCAATGTGAACCGCTGCCAGCCTGGGCAGACAAGACAGACCTTGACGGACCGATGGTCTGACTCTGGATAAGGTGGCTCCGTGTGTGAGAACTACAATGTGCTGTCCCCAGGGGGGCAAGACAAAACCCTCCACCGTTTAAGGCCCTATGGGGTTGGCAGAGCGTAAAGACAGAGGTTTCTAATCCATTTTAGGTTGCAAACCCGGCTATACCCAAGAAAAAGTAGGATGACCCAAGCGGTAAGGCTGCATTCCTGAGCAGACTTACTAGGCAGTAAATCCCATTAATGCAGTAAGAATTACTCCTAAGTGCGTAGGCCTAGCCTCTCCCACACCCCTCCTGACGTTAACCCTTTCATACCTCTTGCTGTGAAATAAACCCCACTCCAAAGACCCAGGTCCTGGTATCCAACACCCTTAAGCTCAATGACTGAGAATGTGACTTCCAGGCAGAACGTTCCAGGACTACATTCCTGACCAACTGTGAAGTCTTCTTGGCCTCTGATTCTCCTCCTCACCCAACTCCTCATCTCCCTCTTCCCTCTCTGGCAGACCAGTCAAGAAGCAAGCATCAATCCCAAGCTGGGACACTAGATCCCACGGGCAGCACACGTCCCTTCTTACCTCGACGGGTACGAAGCCAGAGTCAGGTCCTCGGGGGCGCTTCCCGCGGGCGGGCGGAGGCTCATGTGCGCGCAGCGAAGGGAGCCGACTCAGGTCCACCAGCGGAACAGGCTCCGCCTCTGGCATGCTGGGACCAATCACCGGCTCCTCCAGCCCGACCGGCTCCTTCTCCTCTACCACAGGGGGCGGGGGCTCTCGATGCTCCTCCTGCAGGGGGAGGGGGAAAGGCCATGATGCCCAGGAGTAGGCATGTTATCAGAGGCGTTCCTCAGAGCCTTGCACAAGGAACTGCCCACCACGGGAATCTCAGTTGTGCACCCTCCTGCATCCCGGGGCCGAAGAAGGTCCCTGCAGAGGATTTACTCGCAGGACGCTCAGATGTCGGTACGCTCACTAACCTCTTGCTTCTTCACCGGCGGGGCAGAATACACAGTAGGGGCCGCCTGGATGACCGTGGGGTTCACTTTGGGAGGGGCCACAACAGGCCTAGGGACGGGCACCAATGGAGCCAGAGGGCCGACAGGAATCCCGGGGCCAACCTAGCGGACGGAAATCAACGTGACAGCTATTCATCCAGGAGTTGCACGCTCACGTCACTGCCTGACTCACAGCTCCAGCCGACATCCTCTTTAAGGCAGTTCAAATGTTACCCCAGACAGATTTCCTCAGCAAATGCTTTGGAAGGTTTAATAGAGAAAGCAGAACGACGGGTTTTCTGCTACAGAGGCAAAGTCATGTAAGGTGAAACGCCCGAGCCAACAATACAGGAAGCATACGACCAATAAGGGATTGTTTGCCAACAGAATAAGAAATGCCCAAGTCACCAATGTGGGAAACATACAACCAAACAGAAACGTGCAGCCAATCAGGGGCCCTGTAGTCAATCTGCTCTGGATGGAACGGCACTTCCCTTCAAAAGCAGGTTTGTGGCTCAGAGGTGCTGTTAGTTGAGGGCTCATACCTCCTCTGCTGCAGATGGCCCTTTGCCAATCTAGTAAACGTGGCCCACCTGCAGCCCTTCCTGGATAGGCAGAATCCGGCCACAGTTACCCCTATCTTGATCCCATCCGGTACGATTGCAGTATGTGCGAAGACTACTCAATTCTGCAAATTATGCTGCTTCTGTTGCTGCAGACTGCAAAAGAAACATTTCCGGCTGCCCTGAGCTTATGGGGACACCCATCTGTGGCTACAGGGACTGTGCAATCCTGAGAGAAGTGAGTCTAACATAAGCTTGCTGGAAAACACCGAGCTTATGACAGGAGTAATTGCCTAGGACTGCCCTGGAAGAACAGTCCACCGGCTGCCGATGCCATTCTAGCCACAATGCAAAGCGCTGACCTTTAAAGCCCTAAATGTTCTGAAACCGGCTCCCAGATGAGTCTCCTGATCAGTTAAGATTATCTAAAGGATCCCCGGCCTGGGTAGCCCAGGCAAGCCCAGTCTTGTGAGACCTCGGAAGCCGAGCAGGGCTGGCCCTGGCCAGTGTTTGGATGGGAGACCTCCAAGGAGACCCAGGGTCATGAGGCAAAGGCAGGCGATGGCAAAGCCACCACGGGGTTGAAATAAGTTTGTTGAGACTCGGTGGCAAAAAAGGAGACGGAAAACAGGAGACCTGATTTTGCATGCCGCCACTTTTGGGATGAGCTGGGCTGTGACCTAGTCTCCCCCCCCCTGTCGATACATTACTTATCGCTTCGATATTGAAATCTGAATCCTGAGCAGATGGCACAGAAGCAGGTTAAATGCGAGCACCACCCCTCTTCCAATCAACACCTGTGCTCCCCTCTGCACCCCTTTGTGAGCTCGGACTTGTCCTCTTCTGATTCAACCCCAATTCAGGCACACAGGGAGGGGTGGACTGGGCTGAGCCCAGCTGGTGCTTACCTGCCCTCTCCCGATAAAGGTATTCACGGGGGGACCGGGTCGCATGGGCCCTATGCCTCCGAGAGGTGGGCCGGGGGCTCTCTGCATTGGCGGACCCATCAGCATCGGGGGGCCCTGAGGACCTGGCATGGGGGGCCCCACCATGGGCTGGTGATGAGGAGGCCGCATGGGCATGGGCCTGGGACCACCTGGAAAGGGGGAGGGGGGATTAGTTAGGAGGCCGTGACACCCAGCAACTGCAGCATCAGCTGATCATGGCATCAAGATTCAGATTCAGACCCAGGCGATGGGGCTCCCTCTCACAGGAGGGTTAGACCACGGCCCTTTACCTGCCCGTGGGCATGGAAGCTGTCACCCACCAGCAGAGAGCCATCAAGAGGAGCCACAAACAACATCTGCTGTACAGCCCAAATACAAATGTTCCCTTTTAGAACCTCACAGTGGCAACCAAGGAGTCCATGAACACTTCTCAGAATGGACGCCTCCCACCAAAGAAACGATACACCCAATCCTGTCGTTAGGCGACTTGCTGGGGTATTGGTGGTGTACTAGAAGAAGAAGAAGAGGAGATTGGATTTATACCCCGCCCTTCACTACCCAAAGGTGTCTCAGAGCGGCTTACAAACTCCTTTCCCTTCCTCTCCCCACAACAGACACCCTGTGTGGTAGGTGGGGCTGAGAGAGCTCTTTGACAGAAACTGCCCTTTTTCAAGGACAGCTCTGAAAGAAGTACGGCTTGCCCAAGGTCATCCAGCCAGGTGCAAGTGGAGGAGTGGGGAATCAAACCTGGTTCTCCCAGATTAGAGTCCACACACTTAACCACTACACCAAACTGGTTAGGACTGGCCATACCCAGATTTTATTTTTTAAATGTCTTCCTAACTTAATGCACATAAGTTCATCATACTTGCAGCAGTGCTGAATGTAATATTGCTTTCTGTATTTTTAAAATAAATTATTCTAAAAAAAACCCCAAGTATTTCAGTGGACGTGTCTTGCTGGGTCGATTCTCTGCAAAGCAGCTATGAGATTTGGCCGAGAATCAAAGAGTGTCTAGCTTGAATGGTGAACGCTGACTAGCTTCAGGAAAGCCACCCAATCTGAAGCCCACCCCGCTCCACTGCCTGCAGTGCAGACCTACCTTAAAGGACGGTCATCAGGATGACAATATCTTTGAGACCCCCTTGGCTAAATAAAATCTTTACATAAATGCTACTTATGGTGCTGCCCTTGGGCTAGGACAGGTAAGAAATTAGATTTAAAAAGCTTCCCAGTCAGAAAGAAAGTAGCCTTTTATGCATTTAAGCACTGGTGCTCACACTTGCCGGGAAGAGAGAAAAAGCAAGTGGGACCGAATGGTGGGATGTTCCAGAAACGCATCCTTCAGAAGACTTGTGGGCCTGTCTAGCCTAATTCTGCCTGGCAGCAGCCCTTGTTCCTTCTAAGCTGAGTTTTTTAGCCTTCGTCTCACACATTTTTGTCTCAGCTCAGGAAAGATGGCTCCAGCGCAAACTAATTTATGCAGTAGCCAAATTGCTGGCTCACAACTTTAATGCCAGTAGCTCACAAAGTAGAATTTTTGCTCACAAGCCTCCGCAGCTTAGAGGGAGCACTGGCAGCAGCTCTCTGGGGAGTTCAGGAAGAAGGATTTGCCAGCCATATTGCCAAAAAAAACCCAACTAGAGATGCTAGAGACTGGACATGAAACCTTTGGCATGAAAAGCAGACACTTTAACAAAGACCTCGGGTTGACTAAAAGCATAATGTCATGCCCCTGCATGAGTGAAATGAGTGAAACAAAACAGAACTTACCAGATCTCTGCAGGACATGAGGCACAAAAGTCGGTCGGAGGATCGGGGGCCGCTGTGGGGGTACAGCTGAAAGGCAAATACCGAGTTCAAGGTGTGTCTGCAATCCCTGTTACCAATGCTGTGCACAGAACAAGCATGCGATGCAAGTGCAGAAGGCTGCAGAATATGCCACCCCAGATTAGAAAAAAATGGCACACCGGCACGAAGGCTACTCCTCTGATAACAGCAATCAAGATAAACCGTGAGTTCTGCAGACGTGGTACCATCAGCAATAGTCCAAGATGGGCAAACAAGCAATAGTGTTCGCTTCAATCCATAAAGATGTGTGCGTATGTTTCCAGAGATCCTCCTTTTCCTGTTAAAAGATTAACAGACTTCCTACCTGTCCCACCATCGAGCAGACCTGTGATTCTGGTAGGTACAGGTAAGAGGGAAAACCAACAAATTGGCTTAGCTAAGTAACAGAAGGTCACCAAAAGCATACCTGGGCCTACAAAAGGTACTGGGGGAGCCACAATGGGAGCCACCACCGTGGCAGCTGCTGCTGCTCGGGCTTCCAGACTCTGCTGGACCTGGAGGACAAGAAGGAAAAAATCCCAGTAAGGATGGGTCATCGGGATGAATGGCCAGAAGCAGGTCCGCCTGCACACACTCCCCCCCACCCCCGTGTCCAAATCCTGGACTGTAACACTAAAAATAAACAATCACATTTACATTTCTGTATAAGAATAAGAAGTCACAGCTCACCCCCTATGTAACATCCCTATGAGAGCTATGAGAGCCAAGACTACCCCCTCGCCTAAGTCAGAATTTGAAATCTCCACTGAAACCAGATTTCTAAGCTGTCCAGGCTTGCAAAGTAAATGCCTCGAATTCTCACCTGTTGGTAAGTGTTGGTGGCAATGATAGGGCGGATGACGGGGACCGGTGACACCGCAGGCACGGCTGGCACTGCTAGGGCAACAGGGACAGCCTCCACCACAGGAGTCACGGGAGGTAAGGAAACAGGAGCGCCCAGCACCTCTTGGTCAAATCTGTAAATAACACCATATCATCGCTGTTGCACTTCAGAGCTCTGAAATGTGACACCCTCAGCAACCTCAGAAAGCAGATCATCACTGACGGCTTGACTGGCTACTTCAATTATCTATTTTCAGTGTGAGAAACGATACACCCAATCCTGTCTTTAGGCGACTTGCTGGGGTATTGGTGGTATACTAGAAGAAGAAGAAGAGATTGGATTTATACCCCGCCCTTCGCTACCCAAAGGTGTCTCAGAGTGGCTTACAAACTCCT